GCTGAAACATATGAAACAATTTAAACTGTTTTGGGATTTAACGTTTTGAGGTTAGTCAGTGCATTGTCCACATTGACAATAATGCTTCATTCCATTATGTATTACGGGTACAGACACGAAAGTTCAGGGGTGTTATATGTCCCCACGGTTTCAGAATTTTTATCTCCCACCTACTATTAAGCACCTGTAGTGTTTTAGATCGAAGACTGCACCTAGAGAGCAGATGGGTGAGTTAATGTCCTTACCATAGCTCGGTTTTTAAGGTGGGGACCCCGAGTGTCTCCACTCGGACCGCTGGTCCAAGCTGGTCTTAGCTGGTCATAGTTTGTCATACCACCGCTACGGAACAATCCAAGGATCTTGTCCACGCAATAGGGGTGGGGGCGCAAGGGAGGGGAGAAGGTCTACAGCAGGGAACAGATACTACAACCGCTGTATCTTCTCCGATGGGAAAACTACCTCCTTCTCCTCTGCCCCTTCCGGAAGAAGCGCCCCAGTTAGATACTAATCCTGTCCAGAGAAGAGATTAGAGCAACGCGTGCTATAGCCAACGACCAAACTCACACCATAGGGATTCATAGATGATACTTGACGAGCTCACCTCGCCTTAGCTCAAAAGATACTCAAAAGTTAAAAAGGAACAAAGATATTCATAGATGGTACTTGACGAGCTCACCTCTCCTTAGCTCAAAAGATACTCAAAAGTTAAAAAGTAACAAAGATATTCATAGATGGTACTTGACGAGCTCACCTCGCCTTAGCTCAAAAGATACTCAAAAGTTAAAAAGTAACAAAGATATTCATAGATGGTAGTTGACAACCTCATCTCACTTCATCTTAGCGCAAAAGGTAATAATCTTGTGCAAACCTCATTGACTGTAAGTAGCATGTCTATGCATATTACATTGTTGTATTTAATAAAAAATAGTGATCGTATTTTGGCACCCTTCCTTTAGTAATTCATATTTATTTGAGAACTCATCGACGCAGAGATCTGTTATATAATAATGTTCGAATTCTGACAAAGTTTCCTTGCTCGAGCAGCCACAGATGCCAGAGCACAGCTAATATAAGTCTGGATATTTCCATAACGCAAATTACGGAAGAGGCACCTACCTTTAAATATTTTTGGCATGTCGGTCGGTGCACTTAGTATATATATATATATATATATATATATATATATATATATATATATATATAGTTTAATATTTGTTGCTGAAAATAAAATTATACGAGAAATTGAAAATAAAAATTGGGAACTGAAAGCGGTAAGATGAAGAGAAAATGGACAATTTTGCGCAATGATAAAAAATAAATAATATATATATATGCCTGTTCGATGTTTTTTTTTTTTTTTTTACTAAATGTTCTCTTCTCCGATGAAACGAAAGTTGAGCTAAATTCAAAGGATAAGCGATCTAAAATTCGAAGAAGAAGCTTTGAAAGCTCTTTGAATTTAGCAGTAAGTACTGTCAAGCATCCGTTCAGTATAATGTTCTGGGGATGCTTTTCTTTTCATGGAACTGGTTTCTTAAAACCTATTGAAAAGACCCTCAGGAGCGAGCAGTACAAGAGAATTTTACAGTCTTGTCTGCTCCCTTCTGCTGAAAGGGTGCAAATCGACCCCACCAAGCTCATTTTTATGCAGGATAATGCTCCCTGAAACAAATCAAAATTGATGAAGGAATACTTTGATGAGAAGCAGGTGAGTGTTATGACATGGCCGCCCCAATCTCCTGACCTCAACCCCATAGAAAATTTATGGAGCATTATAAAGTACAGGCTCTCGAGCAACAAAGAGGATTTGATTGTGAATTTCATATCTGAATGGAATTCAATGCTTGGAGATGAGATTTGCCAGAAGCTAATCAAGTCAATGCCAAAAAGGGTTGAAAAGGTTATTCAAAATAAAGGAGGACCCATAGATTATTAAATATTTCGAACTATATTACCTATTATAAATAAATTATACCTCTATTATTTTTTTATTTAAAGCTGTTCGGTCATGTTTCTATTGATTACTAGTTGCAGGAAATAAGTGAGTCACTTTTTCTGCACAGAGTTTTTCCCTAAATCTCATTTATATCCAAAATTATAATTATCAATAGAATACCTTAGAGTGAGTAAACTTTTTTACTAGGTGGTCAGGAAGGGGTCTTTATATTAGTAAGATTAAAAATTAGTTTGACCCCAAAAACAATAGGTGAAAAAGATTTTAAGCAAAAAATCGAACAGCACTATATATATATATATATATATATATATATCTGACAGAAATTATCGGGTGGATTTGAGATAATCATAATTAAGTAATTCATCGAGTCTAGAATAAACCTCAACAGTATACAGAAAGCCGTTTCGTCCTATATTTGGGACTCATCAGCAGTGCGCATCCACTACCGAGAATTGAAACCCAGTTATGATATCAGGCAAATGACATACCAACTGTACTAACCGGCCTCAGTAACGAAGAGGTAGCGAAATTAGACTCGATAGAGCGCCGCTCGATGACATATTCCGTGGTGGAACTCATCCAAGTTTCCCTTACCCACGAGCCACGACTGCTATCACTTGTAACTATTTTTATATCTACCATGAAACATTACATACCAATTATTTGCGAATTTTGACTTAGGAGCACATGCAGAAGTTGTTCAGGAACGCAGGGCCCAAAGGGTTAATAAATAAACGGAGCGTCTACTCAAATATGGGTATCCGCTAAAATAATGTTTAAGCAATAGTATATATATATATATATATATATATATATATATGTGTGTGTGTGTGTGTGTGTGTGTGTGTGTGTGTGTGTGTGTGTTAAAGGAGGTGGGAAGAAGAAAGGTGAAAGAATAAGTAAGCTATGCAAAGGGAATGTACGTTGGTGTTGGAGGCCTGCAAACATTATCCTGGGTTTCGAGTGAAAATAATCAATCGTCAGTTTCATAAATTTCAAAGCTGTAAAAATTCAAAGAGTTTTCTCTTCCAGTGTTTTAATCAAAAAGACAAAAAACTATTCTCAATGAAAAAAAAATTAAATTAACAAAATAAGAAAATAATTGCTTTAAACGAATAAAAACAATTTTGACTTGTCTATTGGGGAAGGAATCAAATAAGTATCAACTTTAATTGGCTGGTTATCGTTACAAATGACTTTGTAAAACTCGCGCAATTTTAGCAAGTAGAGGATTTTAATATAATCAATGGACAAGAGACAAAAAGTGTTTTTTTTTTTTTATTATTATTATAAAGAAACTCGCCTTACCGACGGAGGATAATGCTGAAGAATGGCAAAAAAAGCATTTACATTATTTTAAAAGCATTTTATTTTTCCGGGCAGATATATATATTCAATTTAAAGTGTGCCTATTTATGCAGCGAATGTTATTTAAAGGTAACAGATGTTATGTGTTGATTAATTCCATGGATCAACTTTTACAAATTACGAATTCACATTCCCAGATAAGGAGGAAATTACGTCACACATTGTCCAAGGTTCAAAGAAATATGGCCTAAGTTTTCAACTTTGTTAAGTCACCATCACGAAAGAAAGATTATTCGTAATTTTAAAAAGTAGCTCAATAAAATTAATATATACATATGTGTGTGTGTTTCTCTGTGTGTATGCATGTATAAATTTGTAAATAAATATATATATATATATATATATATATATATATATATATATATATATATATATATATATCATAGAAAGAAAAAGAAAACGACTTCACATGAATTCGGTTAGATAAAAAAAAAAAAAATTTTTAATTCCCAGCATCCCTCTGTCTGTTGTGCGCATGTGTAGTCCTACCAGTATCACAAATTTAGACCGCTGAAGTCCTGAAGGACGAAACGCGTCATAAGTAAACTTTTTCCACTTTATCATACAATTATATATATATATATATATATATATATATATATATATATATATATATATATATCCGTAAACATAGGGCTAATTCTTGTTGCTATGATGTATGCGATGACCCCAAATATTTTGGTGATCGCCGATGTGTATAAGGAAAACAAATTATTCACCTCCACGCTAAAAATGCACAAAGGCACACTCTCCAAATTTACAGAAAAATTCTACAGATCCATGCTGGGATTTCTTCTTAGCTAATAAAAACGAACAATTCTCAGGCCTACACACACGTTTTTTTCTCTCTTGCCTTGAAGTTGGAAGGTAAGAGAGAAATAATCACTTGACTGTATCCCTTTAGCGTGTGAATATTATTTTGTTACTCTCTTATCTATTGTCTTGTCTCGTATTATTTTGGCCTCTTCTTCTTTCTCTGCTTCTTCTGCTTCCTCCTATTATTATTATTATTATTATTATTGAGAATTTTTTCAGTTACGCTTAACCGTGTACGTTTCTTTAATATAGGGAAGAATCTTCAAATAAATTGTCACCGAGTGGGAGAATCCCTAATGAATAACCAAAACACGGTCAACCTAAGGGAATAGATAATTTTTTTTTAGACATCAGAATACATTTTCATGTGCAAATAATAAATATTTTTTTTAATATGCTATGTTGTGTAAAAAGAAGTATGTTAAAGAACATACTTATAATTTTTTATTGTTATATTTGAAGTTATTTCCTCCCAAGGCAATGCCGGGCATCCCTGCATAAATAGTAAATTTGATTCCGTCAAGGAAAGAAAGGCTCCGTTTTATTGACAATTCAAAGAGGAGTCGGTTACGACCAAGAGAAATAAACCGAAGAATCTCCCCCTCTATCTCTCTCAGTTTTTTATTCTCTTTATCTCTCACGCATACATTGTGTATACGCGTTTGTTATGTTGCGTGTATGCGCATGCGCATGTGCTTGTATATGTGTGCGCGCGCCCCTTCCGTTTTTCTAACACCGCTCTCGAGTCGGTTGGGTACGGATTGGTGAGCGTCAATCAAAAGCGATGCGAAGCTTCATAGCCACCAAACAATCATCGATAACTGTCAGCGCCTTCTCGCCAGAAACTCGTCCGGCTCACTGATCTCGCAATCTCTCGTCGTCTCACGGGACGAGACAGAACTCTCAGCTGGGAACAACAAAAGTTCTTCCGCCCTTCTCTCTTTCTTTGTCTCTTGTTGGCCTTGAACAGAGAAAGTTTCATTTAATGCCTGACAGAACTGCACAGCATGAAGACAGGTTGGAAATAAAGAACTTTTCTTGTGTTAATGGAATAGACTTGATTGGAATGAGACAATCTCTATCTTTATATTAATAATGGATCTTATGTTGAAAATATTGTTATCAATAAGATTATTACTGAGAATATGTAAGAAGATTATGTTGGAGCCTCTGACAATTATCCGGCAGTGACTATGTTGAAAAATCACATTCGTATCCGCTTTGGATTTCATAGACTAAGGTTATCGCCATATTTGAGAGACGATCTTTTTTTTAAAAACAAGTTATATATTATCTTAGTATATTTAACTTGTTTCACCCTCTTTTGCCTGTCTCTGTGTCTGTTTATATGCGAGAGCGTAAAAAAGGTAGATAACCTAAAGCATACTATTCTATACAAACATCTCGCAGCAAACCGCCTGCAAAAAATGAATTCAGTAAATATATAGAAATAGAAAGGGGTGTAAGACAAGGATGTGTCTTCTCACCGGACTTATTCAACCTATACAGTGAGGCGATTATGAGAGAATTAGAAGTCCTGTCAGAATTCATTATTGGCGACAACAATCTTCACAGCATAAAATATGCAGACGACAGAATCTTGATAACAGACACAGAAAGGATACTACAAGAACTCTTACAGAACGTAATGAAGGAAAACAAGAAGAAAGGACGAAGCACCAATGGCAAGAAGACAGAATACATGACTCTCACTAAAAGGAACAGCCCGACATGAAAATTAAAAATTGGAGATACTAAAACCAAACAAGTACCAACATTTAAATATCTGTGACGTATTTTAACAGAGGACAACAAGTACGACACACTGAAATCGAAAGGTGCTTTGTGATAGCGAAAGATGCCTTCCAAATACTAAGCAAAGCATTAAGAAACAGAAAGATTTCGTTAGAAACAAAGGAAAAAATACCGAGCTGCTATGTAATATCAGTCCTCCTATATGACAGTGAATGTTAGACAATCTTCCCACAGATGAAGAAGAGACTTGAAGCAACAGAAATGTAGTTCTACAGAAGGATGCTGAGAATACCATCGACCAAACATGTGAGCAACGACAAAGTTTTAGGGAAAATGGAAAGAAAATTGGCTCATATACTGAAAAATCAGAAAGAGATGTTTGAAATTTTCAGGGTAAATAATGAGGAAAGAAGGCTAGGAAAATTTGATACTCACGGGACAGGTTGAACGAAAGAGAAACAGAGGTTTAGGAGAGATAACAAAAATACTTAATTTATTAAAAGCTACAACGAACAAGAAATTTTCGAGAATCATGATCGCTAACGTTCTGAAGAGGCATGACACTTAGAAGAAAAAGATTCTTGACTATATATATATATATATATATATATATATATATATATATATAATAATAGTCAAGAATATATATATATATATCTATATATATATATATATATATATAATATATATATATATATATATAGTATATATATATATGCATGTGTGTGTATATATGTGTGTGTGTGTGTGTGTGTGTGTGTGTGTGTGTGTGTGTATACATTATTTCACCGCCACCCCAAACAAGACGAGAATGCCACTAGTTCGCAGCTGGTTGCAGGGTGTGAAAGTGAAAAGAAGACTGAGTATAGGGAGATTTGAGAAAAAGACAATAGATGAACGGGTTTCAAGAAGATAGAAGATGGCGATTGACGTTGCATTTAAATTTTTGAAGATTGTAGTTATCAGAGAAGCGAGTAAACGGAAGGGAGTTCCACAGGTAAGAAGTGAGAGAAAAAACAGTTGGAGTAGAAGTATCCGTTGCATTTATCTATTTCAACAGTAAAAGGGTGGGACCTAGATGGCAATCTAGTAGTACGCTTAAATTCATGTATTCTGGACACCAGGGAAAAAAAGCTCGTCAGTGCAGTTACCATGAAAATATTTATAGAAAAGACAGAGGGAGCCCCCGTCACGTCGTTGAAAAAGGTTCTGAAGTCGAGATGCCTGGTAAGGATCAATTTCTTTACAGGTCCTTTAGGTTTTGTCAAGAATCTCGAGATGGACAGCAGGAGTAGCAGATTAGATATGGCAACATTATTCAATGCACGGACGAATGGTAGATTTATAAATGTGTAAGATGGATTCTAACGAGAAAAAGCTTCTGGCAATCACAATGACCCAAATCTCCTTGCAGCAGATGCAGCTAATGATTCGATGTAGTTTCTTCACTTGAAGTCGATGGAAAGTGTGAATTACTATCAGTCCTGAAGTTTACAAAATCACCTTGATAGATTAATTCTGAAAATATACAGAAGTACAAAAATATATTTTCTATATTGTTTTGTTTAAAGCCAAAATATTTTCACAAGAACGGGATTATAAAACTTGCGAACCGTTGGAAGTACGTTATTCATAATGTTTGATTCGCTTCGCTGCTGAACGCATAGCGAACTGACCCTATTTCTGGGGATCGGGGCATATGACTTAATTTTTCTCTCGAACGTGCATATCAGTAGATGTAATTCACGCTGTTTGAAAAGAAAGAAAAATACAAAAAATCAGGACGTCTACTCAAACATGGGTATCCAAAAAATAACGTTGGGAGTCGTATATATCATGTGCTATCGAAAAATTAATATCGCTACCATCTAGCTTACACCACCCGCTTTGATCAGCTTGAGAATGTATATAGCAAACTCAAAGGGATACTGCTCCCAAAGGATAGCGGCAAAAGTCCGTACTAGATTCGATTCGTGAACACTGTCAAAATACCCTAACTTTATAAGGTGGGTACTACTGACTTAAAATGATTATTTTTCTTCGAATCGAAATCATGTCTCTATTTACGAGTGATCTGACAAAAAAAAAGCGGAGATCTTGTTTTTCTAAGTTCTACCACTCAGCCATAGCGGAGAGCAGGGGAATTTTAAGAATTAATTATTAATAATCAGCCATGTTTAGTGCGAGTGTAGTTCACGTGAACTTGTTTGCCTTTGTATGGTGAAATCAATCTCTGTGTCAATCAGCAATTTTCATCAGCAAACAGTTAAACACCGGAAGATTGGGTTATTTTTTTTTAATTCTTTTTTCTAGATGTGGGATAGAACAGGATAGAAGTTTTGGTACACTGATTTTGTGCTCAATAATAATAATAATGATGATGGAAATGTTGTCGGAATGTTAGATGAAATAAGGAATAATAATTAATACATTCTTTGCTATTCCAACTACCAGCCACATTTCGTAGTGTCCCTTAGAAATATAAAAACCAACATGAACATGCTGGACCAAATAGCAAAGCTTATAAGACAGACGTCTGAGGAAGGTCCGATGTTAAAACAGTCGAAACATTGTGAATGTAACAACCAAGATGAGTATGCTGGTCCAAATAAGTCAGTCAGTTTTATGCCATGCGTGATACACGCTTAGGCGATCATGTATCTTTCGATAAATGATTGACGAGGCAGATTTTTTTTTCCCGCAGTAGGTTGCCATTTCGTTCTGCGCTAGACCAGTTGCCATCCAAGTTTATAGAACCCGGTCTATCCTGCTAGTTACCTATAGCTGGGGGTGGGGGGAAAAAAGAGGATTCATACCTTTCCCAATGATATTAGCACGTAAGTGAATGTAATGGATTCGACTGGAATTCGAACTTGGCTCTCCGATTCCTCAATGCCATCTGAGGAAGGCCCGATGTTAAAACGGCTGAAACATTGTGAATGTAACAACCATAATGAATATGCTGGTCCAAATAGCAAAGCATATAACAAAACACATATCTGAGAAAGGACTGATGGTAAAACGGCAGAAACATTTTGAATATAGCAACCAAGATGAATATACTCGTCCGAATATCGAAACATATAATAAAAGACACATCTGATGAAGGCCCGGTGTTAAAACGGCAGAAACATTTGTAAATATAACAAGCAAGAGGAGTTGGAGTTTGCTGGTCCAAATAGAAAAGCATATAATAAAACACACATCTGGCGATGGTTCGATGGTAAAACAACAGAAACGTTGTGAATATTGCAAACAAAATGAGTATGCTGGTTCGAACAGCGAAGCATATAATAAAACATCTGAAGAAGGCCCGATGTTAAAACGTTCGAAACATTGGGAATATAACAACTAAGATGAATATTCTGGACTGAATAGCAAAGCAAATAACAATGAATCCTACTAGATTTCAATAACTGTTTACTAAAAATTACCTGTTTTTGTACAGTTTCCAAATCAGTCAATTTATGTGTAGCCTTTTCTCGTTCGTAATTCTAATGTTCCTTCTATGTAGAAAATTCTGTGACTTCCGTCAGTCTGTCCGTCCGTCCATCACACCCTCTAAAATAGCTATCGATCAAAACCCAATTTTGGAGAGAAGTGTAAACAGGTAAGGGGCTACAAAGTACAGCATTACATTGTTTTAATATAACTTTACGTAAGCTTCTTAAACTAACTGAAACCAGTTGTTTTCATGCGAAAACAACTCGAGTTTGTAGGTGTTTTCGTAATTTTGCAAACACCAAAACATAAATCTATAAAAACTATAAACAAATTCCAATTTGGCTCTAGAAAGACATATTTACGCATGGCCAGTTGTATGTTGCATGCTCAAGAGTAAGAAATCATGAGAATTTATTCTTCAATGTTTAAAAGGAAAAAGGAAAAAAAGAATTTTTTTTAAAATTATTGTTTACTATGAAGGTCTATAAAATTAAATGAAATTAGAGAAATTATTAAACCGCGAATTATGGTTTTGTCAAATTATTTTCAAAACAAATTAGCTTATTCAAAATTGAACGGAAAGTAGTGTTTATAAATCTTGACAAAAAATGTCAGTGACAATTTCAACAATACTAAATACTGTAAGGATTTAAACACGTGTTAACGTGTTGCAAAGAAATTCTTGTACGTTAAAATATCGTCTTTTTCATATTTCACCGTGTTCTATTCCGTTTTCAAAAGTACAACTTTAATCCTTGAAGACTAATATTTTCGATTTTCATA